TGTTGTAAACTCAAATAATGTGATTGTAGACAGAAAACAGCGTCGGGAACAACAACTTCTTTTTAATACTTGTTCGTGTTCTACAACCTCGTGGTGGGTACTATGCGGGGTGGCCTTACAATCTAACAGGGGCCCTGAGGGGAGGGGTACAGGTTAATAAAGAAAAACTATAAAATTACAACACAAGGTAGTTTATTTATCAATCAATTTGAATATCACAAAGAATTATCTCAAAAACTCAGCGACAATTCAGAAAGGGGTCGCCGTTTACAAAGAGAACATGAAGAGACGGAACCTAAAATCGTTCACCGGCCTGTTCATTTATGTTCTTTATTTATTGAAAGAAATGTTAATGTTTTCAATATTACATGACGAAAACATTCCAGAGATGCTGCTCAGGTTACTCTGCTGGAGGTTTTGGTGGTGCTCGATGCTGTTTGACTGCAGGTTTCTGGTTGCTGGTACACTGACTTCATTTCGCGAGGCCGCGACGATAACACACTGCTGCATCGCTGTAAATTAGATGATGATGGACGAGAATTGTAATGCCTTATGCTTTCCTCATTTCTATGACCAGACATTTATTATTGTTTACCTATGTAAACTTTGACATGACTAAGAGTAGAGTACTTTGTGCTTTTTGACTGAGCGTTGTCAAGAATTTTGYCGATGTGGCTGTCGTCTATCTCTGCAAATTTCGAAGTAGCTTCTGCAGCTTCGGCGTACRTCGGGAAACATTGAGRTTCTCGGGAAACAAAACTAACCGTTTCYCTTGGGAACAGTCATTAAGTGTATAATGTTTATCGTAATTATTTACCATAGTAGTGTAATARATAGAGGATATTAYATGGGCGCGCTGAGATACGGATTTTTTTTRAAAAGAGTTTTGAGAGATTTTCAACACGAGAAGATAAAATTCGTATCTCTAAGAGAACATGTAATATTCTATTTATCATATAATTGTATATGAAAGTAAATTATGTCGTAAAATAGCTTTTTTTCTTACTTCCCCTATATAGAGAAACTTCGAATTTGTTATTTTCACTAGTGAAAATAAAAAAGCTTCTCACTAGTGAAAATAACACTGTAATACGAGCAGCAAAATCGTCCAAATTATCTCGCAACATGCAAAACAAGTGGCAAAGCGATGTTGCGTGTTTTACTGCAGGCGWACCAAATTGTCTCGCATCAAAATGCTGCAGTCAGCTGATTGTCGCGCGACGTCATTTTGAGTTTTGTTGYAAAAAGTAGAAGCATCTTTTTCTTTCTGCAACAAACTTTTTCAACGCGCAACATCGCTTTCCAAATGCTCTGCAAAGTGGCAGGGTCTTACCATTCACGAAGCCCGGACCCTTTTTATCGAAAAACTCCCTGAATTTATTTGAGGCAGCTGTCCCTACATTTCAATTCAAAATAAGCGACAAGTTCACAACTTTTAGAGAGGATAAGATAAAACATTAAAGACACTAAAAAA